TTAAAACCTAAATAAACATAACAATCAAATATAAAGTATTTATAATTTTCTTAACACATAGTGATAATAAAAATAATTAAAAATTAATTAAAACAAATTTAAAAGTTTGGTCCCTGTGGCAGTGTTCCTTTAACGCTGGCAGCATTTCCTCGCTGTATTGCTATACTTATTCGTTGAGCGAGGAAACAAGTAGTTATCACAATGCTTAGTTTTATTGAAGTGAAACTTCTTTATCGGGGTTGGAAAAAAATTTAGTGTAACATTTTTGCGTTACGCGTCACATTTTTTCGTTACGCGCCATGTTGCTTTTTGAAGTCAAACTTCTTTATCGGCGTTAAAATATGACATATAGTATGTTTTTGACTTTGAAGTTTGACAACGGATTACATTTTCGAAGTCAAACTTCTTTATCGGCGTTAAAATATGACATATAGTATGTTTTTGACTTTGAAGTTTGACAACGGATTACATTTTCGACTTGAAATTTGCTAATCGCAATTTGCGATATATATAGAGATATATTTTTCTTATTTTTAGGTCTTCTTCCCATCTTTTCACAGTCTTCTCATGTATTCGATGCTGTTTTCTAGGTGCCAGTAGCTTTTTACATTTTCCTCGACTCCAAAAATAAGTAGGTTATTTCGTCCCGAGTTCCTCTCTAGTTATTTTACGTTTGAATTTCAAGTTTAGCTTCTAAGATTTTGTTTTGGTTTCCCAGCCCTCTAAACTTTTCATTTATGCTTCGATCAATTGTTTCTTTAATATCTTTGGTTGATTGCCTCTTGCTATGATTTCAATATACCTTTAATTTCTTCCATTCGTAACGTCCTTTTACTAGAAAATCTAAAATCTTAAATAAAAAAAAAACTTCTGTTAATACTATAAATAAATTCAAATTGGAATGCTTAGCCATAATATTTTTTTCTTTATTAGTAACTGTACTGAACTAGGCGAACTTCATACTACCGTACAGTCAATGAATATCGTGTTACAGATTAGCTGAACTTAATGAATTTTGCTGAATTTTATAAAAGTAATACAATGAGTAAAAAACAAATATTAAGCTCATTACTCTATTAAGAAATTAACTCAAAGAGAACTAAGCGTCTAAAGGCACGCATTAATATTTGACAATCAATATATATATATCATAATAGGTTGGGGAAAAAGTTTCTTCGCATTTTTCAAGAAAATTCACAACTTTTTTAATATAGTTTATTTACATTTAACTAAAGTATGTAGGTACCATTTTGTTCGATAACTTTTTGCCATCTTGTAGGTAGGGAATATGATCCCATTGCTATAGAAATTTTGGGACTTCTGATCAAAATACCGCGACAATTGGTTTTGGCAGTCCTCTCGTGATGTTAACCTGACACTGCCTAAAGAATTCTGTAAAGACCGAAACAGGTGGAAATCGGAAGGTGCAAGGTCAGGTCTATACGTCGGATGCATTAACACTAGTGGCTAAAGATGTGTGAGGTCTAGCGTTATCTTGATGAAAAACCACGCCCCTTCTGTTAATTAATTCCAGCCGCTTTCTCTCAACTCCTTGCTTTAATCTCATCAGTGTTTTGCAGTAGAGTTCAGAATCGATGGTCAAAAAAATTTTGAAAAAAAATAATGAAAAAGTTTAAACCAAATTTTTGCTACTCTCACAGACACTGCACTAGGTCCATAAACATCGCAAATTTTTTTCGCGGCTTGCGTTGCATTTATACTTTTTTTGTAGTAAAATTTTAAAATGTATCGAATTTCTTCATTAGATTCACTTATCTTGACGGTACGAAAAATAAATAGAAATCACACATTATCCTAATATGAATTTGGAATTATCTTCCTTAAAATCAATGATAACAAAAACAGGCTATTTTTTCGCATTATACAATGTATGATTTTATTACAAGTTCATACATAGTATAATGCGAAAAGACTTTTTCCCCAACCTAATAATACTAAAGTCAATCCTTTTTCACTACTGGCGTTATTCTAAATTTACCGTATCGACGGAATGAACATTAAATGTTTGACAGTTACGAATTCCATGAACATATGTTCATGTGTGTTGCATTTAGGGGCGGAGAAAAATACAAGTAAAAAGCCATGAAAGTCGGTCCAGTCGTACTTGAGTTATCGAACAAACGCGACGTATATGTTATATGAGAATAAATTATTTTACCCTTGGTTCGAAAGTTCTAGTTTATTCAAACTCTTATTTGAACAATATCTATCTAATCAAACCTATTCTTATATATTATGCTCTCATATCAAAATAATTAAACACAGTTTATGAAAAACATCCCATTAAGGCGAAACAAAATTCGCGGGGGCGCTAGTGTTAAATGTAACTGGGAAATCACAGCCTTCGCTGAAATACATCTCGCAGATAATGTGGTAACACGTTGTCATTTATTCTATGAGAATGGCAATTTCATGACATATCATAGACATCTTACAGGTTATAAGTTGTCAATGTCAATGTGTCTATCTTTGAGTAGAGAACAATCGTTGAGACGTTGAGTTGGAATTGCTCTCTGACGGACATCCACGCCGGACGTGCGCACTAACTTAAATTAAAATGAAAATGACACACGACACAGTTAATAAGTTTGTCTTCGAATCTGCGACATGCAGTTCTCACTACCTCAGACGCCTGAGGTTTTTATGTAGTCTATATAAAATTAATATTATTACAACAGTCTACTTTTTACTGCTTAGAATACCCAGATACATTTACTCACTCACTCACTTCTTGGCGTCCGAAATGAGAATCTTTCAGCACTTCCTATCCTTTACCACCTACCGCGAATCGCTGGCTTTTAGCTGCAGCAGGTCTATCCACTTTTTATATTTTAAGAGGCGAGTAAATTATCTTTTTATATAGATCTTCCCTGGTATCAAGTTTCAATCAAACAAAGTCTTAAATCAAACTGGGATCTATCAGTCAGAAATTCGTTTAGTAGTTGGCGTCCAAACCAACTAAATTCACGCATGTTTCACCGATAATTAGTACCGGAGTTGTTTACCGTTCAAATCAATATGGGGTATGGAACCGGTGCAAGCGATTCTCAACTTTCTCATCGAGCGTTCGTATATTGGTACAGGAACTGGTACAGCTAAATGTTCTGTACTGCTCGCCTCGATGTAAATGTATTTTTATTGAAGCGTACATTGTGTTACCCTTAAGGCCATTGCTACATATTAATCCTCTCATTAAGTGTAAATTATTAGAATCATGTTTCTACGTGATACTATGTTTCACAGTTGCTAATAAAAAATGTGATAAGATATCGTTAGTAATCTTTGTATTTTATATTTTTTAATAATACTGAAAATTAAATAAAATTGAAATGTAAATTTAAACTTTCTGTAATTTCACTATAAGATAACTTTACCCCAAAAAATTTTTTTCCATTTTATTTCATATGTATTTAAGTATTTGTTTCTGCTTACTTTATGTACGTTTGCTTTCGCTTTTACGACTATAAAGATGACATTACATTAACATCTTGAATAATACATTTCAAATCTTGTCGCACTGAACACGAAATTCATTTTTGGCTACATTACGATGTCTTAATTCTTCGGGCCAACTGCGTGCGACTCTCAACCCTCGAGTCATGCGTTCGAATCATGACTGCACCAATGGGAATTTCTTTCTATGTGCGCTGGTAGCTACGGTGAGGCCCAGAAATCGCTTGTATCAGGCGCAGAAGGATGATCACCTACTTGCCTACTATAGATCCCTTCTATCTTCGTCTTCTTCTTCTGGATTTAAATTCAGAATTAGTTTTGAGAATTATTAATTAACAGTTAGTAATTATTTAATACACTAAGTACACTGAAAACGTTCGAATCTACCTTATACTGTAAAAGAACACTAGAATAACCATGTAAAAGCTTTTAACTATTAACCTTATCAGCGTAATAAATAGACAGTGTAAGTTATATTTCATTCAAGATATGAAATAGTTGAGTCCCAGTTGATATCTTGAATGAAATATCATATAGGAAAATTTTCGTGGATCTTAAGTCTTAAAAAAAGGTATATGGATCAGTATTTTCGTATCAACCATGACTCAGCAATTATCTAGTATCCTAATATTGGTTACGGAATAAATTAAAGAATAATTATCAAATATGCCACACCCATCCAGTTACAGTGGCACTTCGAAAAAGCATAGATTACCAGTTATAAAGAAGATAAAGACAGATATCACGCAATTTTATTTTTAGAATTGTATGGTAAAATACCAAACCTGTTCAATACATAACAACGCTATAACTGCACGGTCATAATACAGAAAGCAGTTCACGAACAACAAATCAAACTAAAACACAAAAAAGTAAGAATATTTTTATTTCTTTCATTATTTTTTGGAGAAATATATTTTCCTTTAACAATCGAGGTCTTGAAATCTGTCCATGATAAAACAAGACAATACAACCTATGATCGAGACCATTCGATCGATTTAATCCTTCTCATACGTTTAATCAGATCTTCTTAAATTCCTCCATTTATTTAAGCAATATTGTTGCATCACATAAAGCGAGCGATAAAGAATGCGTTTTTTTAAATCGAAGACGTGGCCTGTGCTAGGTCAACCAGTGAACACCGATTAAAACCAAGCGTCATTCACTCTAGACAAAAATACTACGCTTTGGACGACCACAGTGATGGGTTATTATATCCATACAAATACGGAGCTAGCGACAAATCCAAGCATGAGTTTGGATCGTCGACATCGCGTGATCGCCGCGTGTCACAAAGTATTTTTGCCTATATGTTATATACATTCTTAGCCTCGGGTATCAAATTTAATTTGTAAAACTTAACAATTACTATACAATATTTACAAATCCGACCAGGCAGCGCCTATTAATAAATTCATTACGTAAAAATATTTATTTTGGTTAACTCTACGCATAGTATTATTGATATTAACAGAAACATAGCCGTCGTTTTACAAGTTCAACACGTTCCATTTTTAATTGTTCATCAACACATCAAAGCAGATGGCAAAATAATTTCCATTTCTAATAAAATTGCAAATGTAATAAATGCAATGTAAAAGCAAATAAGAACAATGCCCACGCTTCGGCGAAGGTGGAATTTTCCAATGTACAAGACGGCCCAGAGGACAGCTACGGCCAGGAGCAGAGAGGCAACCACAAAATCTATGCCCGCCGAGTTAATGTATACAGAAGTGATCTCCGAGCCCTGGACGAGGAATGTGAGGGTTTGTATCATCCATGGCATTCCAAGAGCGAAGAGTATTGCCAGAGAATTTGCTCCCAAAGCGTTGGAAACACCTATACCGCCTTCACCTGTAACAACATAATCTTTATAGTTCGAAATCACGCGCATTTTTATAATAAACAATGGCAAAGAGTTAAAATATCTATATTATACAGTAACTAACAATTCAATTTATGCTAATAATAACACTTGTACGCAAATAACACTTGTAATAAGTGCTTAGATACTTAATTGAACATATACAATTACGCAAAGCCAAACAGCCTGATTGCAGACCCTTGCATGAATTTCAAGTCTCAATAGAAATAAGCCTGGCTGGCTTCTTCTGGATAACCGTAACGAGTAAAATTCGCTGTTGCAACAAACTATCGCAGAGCATAGATAATGTGTAATCATTGTTAAGAGGTTAATTAAAAATTAATCGCAATTTGACGACAGTTATCATAAGGTTTTATTACTTTGATAACAATATAATACGCATTTAAATTTAATTTATTGCCATCGATATAAAACATTCTAAATTTGAAATAACACTTGACAAGCTTTATTTTGTGTGAAGCGATGTTTAAGAATAGACGTAACATTTCTTCACAGTTAAGCTGATTAATAATTTTTTTCCTGACAGCTGTCAGACAACGTATTTCTCTAATTTTCCCTAAACGGCTCGCATAAAGCACTAAATTATAATTTACTCAATAATAAAAGCCTCTGTGATTAAGTTTGCATACATACCTCGTCGCGACATGATATAGATCGATAATGCCTCTGGCAAACATCCTCCGAAGGCCAAAAACGTCATTCCCATCACCGAATCCGGAATTAAAAATGTGTGCCCTGCAAAATAAATTATAATATATGCAAAGTATATTTTTGCGACTTTTTTTCTAATTATTATGTTTGCAGCTAATGAGTAACGTTGCCAAGCCAAAACTTCAATACAAAATCGATCGATTCTACATTTACTACCAGTTCTCAAATCAAAAACGTAGAAAGTACGAAATAAACTGGCAATAAATTCCTCACCACTACTTTTTTTGCGGCAAGGCCTAATTTTCACTTCTATAGCAATATAGCAAATACAAAGGCAGTTAAATTTTTTAATTGATAATTTCATTCAATTCATGTGTTTCCCTTTAGGCCTACGTGGAAAATTCAAGGTCGAATTACTTGTCGCCATATTATATTGTAATATTGCGAAGTATATACTTTACATTTAACCGACTATAAATACGGAAAAAGATAAAAATATGTATGTATATATATGTATATATGTAGCACGTAGTTACACATCCATTGAGATTATATTAAATTAAAATTTTACACAAAAACAATGGAATCTAATGTCACTGTAGACATAAGAGTTATTATAATAATATAAGTGTATTGACATTAATTCAAGAACATTAAAAAATTGACAAAGGAAAGTTGATAATAACCAGCAAAAGTAAACAATGCAAAAGGCTTTACCGCGGTTACTTGGTTACGGAACTTATTACTATACGGCTTTTATATCCAAGGACGAACAAAACAAATTTCCCTAACTGCTCTCATTTTTCATAATAAGGCCATTTTAATTAGCTTTAAGTACTAACAAACACTTGCGATAAGTGCAGGTACTTATTACTTATAATCAGTAATACTTTGTTGAGAAATAATAATAGGAAAAACTATCTTCATCGAAGTACCTGAGCACGAAGTAACTTCGACCAATTTTCCTTCCTCATAGACGTTATGTTAAAATTACTTAAACACGGGAGTTATACGAGAAACATTTTAATTTTAAGACATCGTGATTTTTTTAAATTCGCTTATTTTATGGAATTTTAAATTTTTGTATAATACTTTAAGATTTTTGAATTGAAGATACAATTGTTTACAAAGCTAAAGCCTGCAAATACAGGGGTCTAGGCTCCGAATATGATTTTGTCCCATTCGGTGTCGAGACCCTTGGTCCTTGCTGTCCTAGCGCGATTAGGCTTTTTAAGGAAAAGCTAAAAGTTTAGTCGACATCACAGGAGACCGAAGAGCTGGCAGCTACCTCGGACAAAGAATTAGTCTAGCTATTAAAATGGGGAACGCTGCCAGTATCTTCGGAACCTTGCCTAAAGGGACTCCTTATAATAATATATTTTAGTTATTATATTTTAAGGTCAGTTATTGTTCTTTATTTGTATTTATAAGCTAGGTTAAATTATAATTATTGTTATTTATATAAATAATAGTTTAATCTTATCTATTTAATATTATATATTGATTTTTTTCAACATTATCGTATTGGTTTAGTACTGTATAGTGTATTTATTTTTTATTTCATGAGAAATACCATGAAAATTGTCGTAGATCTGATTATGTGACAATTCTAAACAAACAACGTTTAACTAATGTATATAACAACTATATGTTTATAGCCCATTGTTTATTAAGAGAAACATTTTAAACGAAATCTGAAATGTACGGTAAGCCTTTCATGTTTCATGTTGCCAATCGATAATCGATTGGCAAACTTACTATGGTTATGAAACCAATACTTTCATAATTATATTGAATTTTAAAAAAATCAATCAGTGGCGCTACAACCTCTTTAGGTCTTGGCCTTAGATTTCTGAATCTGTTTCATTATAATTACAGTACACACGCCGTCAACTTCTAAGAAATGTCGGTTTCCTAACGATGTTTTCCATCACCGTTCGAGCAAATGTTAAATGCGCATATAGAATGAAAGTCCATTAGTGCACAGCCGGGGATCGAACCTACGACCTCAGGTATAAGAGCCGCACGTTGATGCCACTAGGCCAACACTGCTCTTCATATTTCATAATTATATATCAGAATTATTATTTCGTAATTTAGAAACGCTGTTCAAAAAGTAAAGACTTTTGCATATATAATTATATATGTGAATTTTATAACTAACTTTAACGTATATAATACTATATCAATCTAGCACTTTTTCAATCAAATTATGTTAACGTTACTTTACACTTAGATATTTTTAATAAGGAGGTATATCAATTACCTAAGACTGTCATACTCCAGGACACGAAGTACGAATTTCCACCAATCCAAACAATACACATAATAAATGAGATAGGATAAAGCCTCCGATACGTAACTGGTGAGGGTATTGTGCAGGATAACACTAGTCTTAGAGGCCAACTGTAGAGCCACCATATTTTATAAAGGAGCGATTTTTTACTTGGAAATCTGAATATTGATTTTGTTGTGTTTTCTTCAACTGAAAAAGAATTCCTATTAATATGTACATCCTAGAATAAATTGATGATGGTACTTCAGTAAAGACTTATGTTTTTATGAAAAATGTTCAACTAATAATGTGAAACATTTCCACGAGTCGGATGCAAATCAAATTATTTCATACCTATGCACTTAGTTAAACATTTCACATTCATTTGAAGTTCCACCGTTAACTATTAAAATAAATAATTAAAACTAATTTTTAAATTTATTATATTATGTATATATTATATTATATAGATGGGGGCCGGTGGGTCGAGCCCATGCGCAATTACCGGTTGAGTAAAACCACATGGGCCTCCAAATTTAATAAAAGCCTAAAATTGTATGTTTTAGATGTATGATAAAAGACAGATTAATTATTTCTGAAAATAACTATTACCTTTTTCTTCTATCTGTTTGTCCGTAACAGTGTTGCCATTTGAAATATTTTCAGTACTAAATGCTTTGTTGTCAATACCATCTTCAGTTGACTTGTCCACTTCGTTGACGACATCTAGAACAAAGTTCTGATCAAAGGTCAATCAACAAAAATTTGTTGAAATCAATGCAATTATTTGATAAGCTATTAATTACGGAAGGTACAAATGAAATATCGTTAATTAGTTTATAATTTGCTTGATTGTGAATTAACATGTTATTTTGCGTGGAATAATCTATCTTCAATGAATTTCAATTTCAAGTGGGGACTTTATTAAAATTAATATAATACATATTACTTTGAAATTATTATATTAATTATTGCAAATTTGTTATTAATCCGCTAATGATCAGCTATCCGTGCCCGACAGACGCTATACACAAGGAAAGTCCATTGGTGCACAGCCGGAAACCGAAACTGCGACCTTAGGGATGAGAGTCGCTCACCTCACCATTAGGCCAACACTGCTGCATATTAAGTTTGCTTAACTTTAGGTATCTTTAGGTATTTTAGTGGTTTAATTACCATTTTGATCAACAAAAGTTAAACAATTTTTTTTTATCACCTGCAGACTGATTTCGTAAGTCGTTACTAGGTTTAACAGTAATCATGTTTAAAATAATCTTAAATATCTTTGACTTAACATTCCATTTGTTACTTCTAACATATTTCAATAACGTTAGAAATGTATAATAAATTGTACCAAGAATAATAAACTACTTCAGTCCTCTTTGAATAAATACTAGAGAAACTATTCTCTTGTATTTATTCAATATTGTATGTATGCTTTCAACAATACTTTAACGTTTTAGAATAAAAATATTATATGAAATCCTTGTGCCTTCTTAGAAAGAAAATGTATGGACCTTGAACTATTTTCTTCGAACCACCTACACTATCAAGTCGGAAAATTAGATAATCAAACGATAGCTTAGGATATAACATAAGATAAGATATTTTATTATAAATTAAATCGATACGTGACAATTTAGAGATTAAGATTATAATTTCCTATTATTAAAGTCACGGAAAAGGTAATTGCGCTTATGTGCTAACACAGAGTCGTCGCTTTAAATCCTACGTTTCGTTATTTCGACTATGTATTTGCGTGTTGCGTGTTGTTCCCACGAGATAAGTGCGTGCTCCTATTTCACCATGCCTCCTTCTGATAGAGGACAAATCTTTGTTTTTAATTTATTTTATTATTATTTATTACTTAGGATGTCATGTGGAACATGGTGTAATGGTTGCAGCTCCTTACAAACGTTGTGTATAACAAAAAACTTGGCGATTAATAAGAGTGGCGGAGAGTTTATTACCAGTTTTTCTCTTCCGTTCTACGCCCTTGATTTAAGAACTGGCATTAAATGTAAAATTAGAAGCATTTCATATGTTTTTTTTTGACGTTCATAAGTGTACATTGTGTTACCTATATGAATAAATGATTTTGACTTGACTTGATTGTTCATGCTTAAGACTTGCGAGGTGACATTACTCGTAGATTGTCAATCTATCAGTTATATCTGTAGCAATAAAAGGATTAAAGACTGTCTTGACTAATAACAACTAGGCAAAATACCCCATCGTTTTAAACTGATACCTACTGCGGTTAACTTGCTGAAAATCAATGCGTGCAGACAGATAGCTACGCCGTATGTGAGTATAATATGCATTTTGGTTGTGTACTACAGACACATTCGACTTCAGACTAATCGTAACCAAAGTAAATAAAGATTGATGTGAAATAAGTTAGCCTACCTCAAATTCTTTGGATAAAACTGAACTATTTTGCAAGATTTTTATTTTAACTATACGAACGTTAGGAAATAAATTTGTTTTAAAATGGCACAAGGAAGCGATTTTTACGTGAATATTTTATACGAAATGAATGTCTCTGCAAATTGTATCCTTATAACGAATGTGATGAGGTCGAATAGTATTAGTAGTATAGTTGTATAGTAACAAATTAATAATGAAATATATTTCATAGATAGCATTGAATTGTGTTAACTGAATACAAAGCTACTTACATGCAGGCTTTCGGCAGCAGCATCCGACAATTTTATCATAGAGTACAAATAACTTCATACTGTTGAACATCACGAAGAAATAAACGATATACAGGAGGCCTAGGACGAGAGCTTCATACCATATCACCTCTCCATCCCATACGATAACCACTAGTACGCTTACATTGATCATGTAAATTACTGCATCTCTTGTTACCGGCCGACGATCGATCTTGATAGGCTGAAATTTCAATATTTCCAGTAGCATGATCTATAGTCTTAGGGTTAGAATAATATCATTCAGGTCTCTGTTCGGGTATGAAGGTAATTTTTGTTCAATTTTCAATCTGTGCTTTATCTCTGGTGGGTTTACAGGTCACGGCTGAATCAATTTCCACATGTGAAAAGAGTATAAGAAAAGCTTTTATTGGAAGCAAGAACAAAATTTAAAATTCAGAATTTAGTTTTGAATGTTGTACAAATTGAAATATCATTCGATATAGAAATATTTATATTCGATAACGACTAGGCGCGGTTCAACGACTTGCAAAGGATGTCACACGAGAAAATAAACTCAAATACTTAATAATAAGATTTACTTCCTTAGAAATTTAAACGACGAATACGTCATTGAGATGATTTATAAGAAAGGTTGCTGAAATGCCTGCTCCATAATATGCTATTATCTACGGATGAACTTTTGTGAAAAACCGGTTTTATTATTAGGGTAGCATGTAACTGGGTGAGATTTTGCCGGGTTCGACGACCTTCGAGCATACCTATACTGCTTCTATTTTGTTGTTGAATTGATACAAACAATAAATTTAAACAAAATCATGAATAAACACAATTCCAAACTTGCTTTAGCACATTTTCAGTGCTATGAAATTCCGTTTTAGCTTTTTATTACTTATTGAGGTTGTAAGTAATACTACATAGGCCACCATGAGAAACTGGGAATTATCGTGAAAGCGAAACTAAAATAAAACTTTGTGAAAATTTTGATAAACTTACTGTATTTGTATCATCGATATTGCAAAATGTTAAGAATTTTCATACAAATATATTAAAAAATCATCTTTGTGAAACACGTGGTACAGACTGCAAAATTTCGGTAAAAGCAAACGTTGTTTATAGATTCAGGGTTGTATCGATTGGTAATGTTAACAAAAAGTCAGTGGCGCTTCAACCTTTTTAGGTGGGGGCCTCAGATTTCTATATCTGTTTCATGATCATTTAATTTTGATAATATAAAACGTCGTCGATGTTTGGGTCTAATACAAGCCGGTTCACTCGCGATGTCATCCTTCACCGTTCGAGCGAACGTTAAATGCGCACATAGAAAGAAAGTCTATTGGTGCACAGCCGGGGATCGAACCTACGACGATTGGTATTGTTATTTAGCAATATATTTTCGTGTTTATTTATTTCTTGAAGAGCGAAAGCCCATCTCTCGCTTGTAAATTACTGAAAATTCTATGCCAGCGCGAGCCTTTGTTTCATGGAGAATCGAAGCTAACTGTAACGATTTTAACTTTATTTTTAAGTGTACGTATTTTGGTGCATCTATTTAGTTTAAATACGCCCGAATACAAATCGTTTCTAAGTTTTCCATAACAAAATATTAGATTTAACGTATTATTTTCTCATTTAATATCATACGTGAATAAGTGGGCGAGCTACGTAAAGGTCAGACATTGTTTTAGAAAAATATAGGATTTATCAAAATAATAGAAAAATAAACTGGGTGTAGTGAAGCATAACAATGCACTCGAGAGAAAAGGAAAATAACATTTCCCAGAACGTAATTGAGAGTTGGAGTCGAGACTAATAGGTACTTATAAGCTTAAAGATTCGGAAGTAAAAAAAATATTGGATTTTATATTCATTTTGTTGTCTATTTTCTTTGAAACATGAACTCCATATTGTCAAACTGTCGATAACGAACAGAACTAAATCGCCGAACGATTTTCCGATATTTGTTTTTTAAATATTATTACCGAAGTAAAAATAAAATTGAACAAAAAGTTGTTTAGTAAATTCATCAAAAATGCTATGATGTATTTTACCAAACAGGTGTAATATAAAAGAACTTACCGATCCAGCAGCCAGGCTTCCTATAGCGGCAACACCAAGGATGTTGAACAGACCTGACCCGACAATAGTACCGATTCCCATATCAGACTGCGTAAGGAATGTTGAAATCACGTTTACGAAGAATTCTGGGCATGACGTCGCAACTGCCATAAATGTTGCAGCCGCTACATTCTGTTGCAAAAAAGTAACAATACAAATGTATTATGTAAATGTTTATTTGTATATATTGGCGTTTATCTACATAACGCGAATTCAGCTTTGTTCAGATTTCATCATTTGAACATCAACAAACTGCTGACATGGATCCGGTGTTTGCTAAATATTAGCAGCTGAATAGCAAATTTAATTATGTTTTATTTAAATATTGATCAGCTGCTGACACGGCTCATATGTGTTCCAATTATAATAGCTGAGGTTGCGCAATACACCAACAGCTCACTAGAAAAATATCATATATGTGTGAATAGGTGTAATTAGTATTTAAGATGTTGTTTTATAACAATAAATGAGATTTGAATATTGCTCTGTCTTGTTCATTTCTCGCTTCCTCTCAAAGTGGCGAAGACTACTTCAAGCCCTTAATTATCGTGGTGAGCCTGCCCGGTAGCTTTGAGATAATCCCACCACCTCGAACCTTTGATCCTACCCGTAGGGCTCCGTCTGTTACCTTAGGTCTCTTGGTGCAGACATCCCGTACTTATTTATATATTTATATATTCACTATTTATGTGTTAGGGTACGTCTGTAGGGCTTAGGGATCCGTAGGGTTGTTAGGTTCTTACGTCTCACCCTCTCATATATTTAGTCATCTAGTGCAGCTTGCTCATACATATATTACATATACTATTCAGATACTCCTGACATTGAATACATATAAATTTTAAACACACTTTTCACAGTCCAACATAGCTACAATATAGCTTTCCGTCTCTTAATGGCTAAGTACGAGGTCGTAGGTCTTGATTTTTGGGTTAAGGTATTCCGGTTTCTTCGCGATGTTTTTCTTTATCGTACGAGTGATTTTCGAATGCACACATACCAAAAATAGTCCACTACTGCACAGCCGTAATCCGAATGAATGACCTCAGGGTTGTGAACCCGCTAGATAGTACCAGTAGTTATAAAAACTTGTTGCTATAAAGAATATCATAAAATCGTAAGTAGAAAGTCTTTTACTTTTCTTAAAAATCTAATTAATTAATACATGAAGCCAACTATCTAGTTTCTTTCTCTTGGCGTCTCTTTACTCTTGGGCTTAATGGCGCACTTTGTCATTCGACGGAAGTTGTAATTAAAATGTGAAACACAATTTTTTTCTCATCTTATTTTACCCTTTCAATTTATAATTAGATAAAAATGCTAATGGCAATAGTAAAGCTTTATTGATTTAACCTATAAATTATCTAATACATATTTCTTATACATTTTTATAAATTGTTTGTACTGAAAATAAGAGTTATGTTGGACTAACTACACAACATTTCACCGACTCAGCTAGACTTGTCTACCTCGACAATTGACTCGCAACCTAAACTATTAAAAACGCGTACTTTGGACTAATAACGAGATTTTCGTGGTTAGAGTTTAGTTGTTACAATAAATTTGCAAGTGTACAAAATGTCTATCGTCACGCTGAAAGAATGTTTGTAATATCGAAGGTGTCAATGTTATGAAATACAAGTAATAATTTCTCATCGTTAAAACTATGATTCTTAGGTATAACAAATTTGTTTCCCAACGCATTATAAACTCTGTAGTCTCAGTGTTGGCTCTACGCCGTAGGGATCTCACGTAGTTCTTAAGAATTGATTCTCACATCTGGTAGTGTCATTTAATGTCAGGATCAATGCACCGTGCATCGGAAACAATCCATGAAAATTAAGACTTTACACATTGGCACAAAGTTTTGACAATTTTTCATAGAGGAGAACGCCGGGAGCAGATAATGATAATATTAAAAAAAATATAAAAAGATTAGCTAATCTAATCCATTCACCCGCTTCGTTAGAAACTTAAAACTTTCGGTGGGAGGAGTCTTCCGCGGTCACTCCTTTTACTCAAGATCAACGATGTATACAATCCAGTTAATTGAGTTTAAAAGACGTTAGACCAAGGCTATATAAGTTAATCATCTCCTACGGCAATTTCATAAGCAGGATAATAACTTGAAAATTATAATTTATTGAATGAAATAATACAGATTAGGAAAGTCTGATGTTAAGGAAAAACCTATACGCGATTTACTTTTAACTACCATTGTTACAAACATTTGCGATCCGTGCCAATAATACGCTTCAACATTTCTGGATACGTCCTTCTTTGAATCTTTTTGTGTCGTGTTGTCAATTGAGATTCGTACGTACTTACGGTTTTCGCACGACTTTTTCTTTACAGAATAAGGTAATATAAAATATAGTCGCTCATCTAGCCTATTTAACATTATTAAATAGGATACGTAAGTGAGACAGCAAAAATCAGGACAGTTAATAATAAAAATATTTATTGTGTTTGTATACATATTTTTACAAGATAAATTTTAGTTTTAAATGTGTATGTAGTACATGGCTAAAAACATTGGTGTGAATGAACCTTACATGTTGTGGGTTAAGTAGAATAATTGAAAGTAAATACAGAGATAGTATAGTAGTTTTATTCTAGGAGTACACTCTCTTCACATATTATTAACTAATGTATACATATTGTAAAACCTATTTCCCATTCTTCTCCACACGAAACTACCTTTCGGAAGGGACAACAAGAATCATCTTTATATTTTATTTAACGTTCAAAAGTGCCATTTTAGGTGGTCTAATTGGAATAAATGATTTGGCTATTGACTATTGACTGATTGTTAACTTTTATCTAGTCATATTTCTTTTCAATTGAATGTTTATGAACTACGAGGTGTAAGCGATGTCATTTTGCTTCCGAGTATTGGATGAAGGGCGAACTACGCCTCTGCTAACAATACTCTGCGATAAAGATGGATACGAAATACTTGAATCCTACCTATTATACAAAAAATGTCAAACATACCTGTGGTATCTTCAGATCTTCGCAAATAAGTTCCACACACGGAATAAAATAGTCATTGCACACAATAGCCAGCAAGGTGAACGCGTAGAGGCCAAAAAAGACGTATAATATGAACCCTCCCTGACGTAGTTGTACATCTGTAAGATAATACTTTCACTGAGTTATTGAAGTGAAACTTATTTAGGCGCAGGGTAAAATTTTCACGGAACGTCACGAAGATGTGCAGCGTTTTTGTCGAAGAAAAGGAAGAGAGCGATTGAGACCGATTGTGATGTGAGGGTGAGAAGGGCGAATAACCTTATCCATATTCTATTTTTAAAATTAAAATTTCGTAAACAGAATTTATAAAAAATTAATATTTGATATTTTATGCAAAATAATTTATTGAAATCTCTAATGACGAAAACAAATAAGTTAAAATGCCACGTGTTTAAGTATCTATTATCGAAGAAATAAATTTATTATTTGTATTAATTTTCGACATTTTAATATATTAACGACAATTAAATTCATTAAATTCCTAACACATCTTCCTTTTTCCCTCCCTCTAAGTCTCGGAAATCTAAACTCTTAGATTTGTATAAATATGAACAAGACTTAAAAAATAGTTTGCCAAAGAAGTTTCACTTCTGACGTGTACTTTGTACGCACACACGTTTTTTTAATACTAAATAGAACTACGACATGAACGTAGCTCCTTATGAGCACCTTGTTAAACAAAACCTTGTTGGTTTGTAGAAGTGACGAAGCGTCAGTTTTGTACACCCCTGATTTGAGTGCCCCCTTTCTGTAACTTCCAGTAGTGATTCCAACATCCCAATTTTAATAATAAGTTGTTGTACCGCGCGATGCCAATCGCCGATATTAAGAGAACTATATCGAACTTGGATACACAAACGTGAGGACCGCAGTCGCTGGTGGAAGTTGCAGAGTACGAGCGCAGGGAATAAATGTAAATTTAGATTTATCGACGATAGAATGTTTGTATTACCTATTATAAAAGCCGTTAATTTTATTTTATGATTTGGAATTAAAAAGTAAATTTAATTTTCTATCTACTACCAATCCCCTTAATAGCGATATTATTACTTAGATGAAGGGGAGTGAAAACAACCATTATTTGCTTTAAAAAAATATTTTTTTATAGAATATAGGGAAGAACGAGAATATGTGACACTTAAAAAGAGCAAATCGCAGCCCATGAACATCCATATTTATTCACTAGTTGGCTTTTATAAACAAGTCAAACTTAGTAGGACTGTTTATTAAATATAATGATGTCATTAAACAATAACCACAGCGTTATTTTATACACAAGTTGTTATAATATAATTAAATATAATTAAAACAAATACTTGAAAAACTTTTTTGTTATGTCTATTGATAAGGCGAAAACTAAATAAAAACTAAACTAGCTCTAAACCGATCTGAAACACGCGTACAAGGAATCGTTTGTAAAGAGTTAACAGTTCACCAAAAACTTATTTCACTGCTCTTTGCGTTCTTAAATCTCTATAACTACACATTATAATTTATTTAAACCGTTTTTTTATTATTATCAAGCAGGCTTAATGTAATTACTTTGACTCTAAAGATAGCAGTGCCTAATTGCGTTGCCCTTACCATCAAAGATTCCAGGCGGAAAACTGTCAATGGAGTTTTCACTGAAGCAAGTGACATCTGTCACATATTTCTCGACAACCTGTGTTCTTGTCCTGATCCAAGGTGTCCAGTGCCAGATCTCAGCTTCGTCATCGAGCCGACGCATCAGGTCTTCGCTTATGTATTCGACGTCACCATTCTTATTAACTCTTGTTACATACACAACTTCACTGCTTGTATCTGCCAAGAAGGAGACTAGATTAAACACGCGGACGATTCAGTTCTTTTTCTATAACTTCAAACGGTACATAATCTTCTATGATTACCGCGATTAATTTTAAATAGTTTTTTTTTGATAAAATCTCACGTTTTCAGCACACTGTAGAAACTTAATAATTACGAATACGTAAACAAAAGATACAAGTATAGTATAGTAGTACAAATTAAAACTAATTCATCTCATCCATAACATTATCAATACACCCATATTATTGTAAATATATATATTTCGTAATCATTACCTTGACCAAATTATTAAAGCTTTTTCGTTAATGCGTCGCACTATGTCATTAAGTAAACAAAACACACGTTGAGAAGGAATAATTGTATGCTTATTTATTGTGTATACTCGGAGTCAGTAATATCTCGGCTAGTTTACAACAAGGCTAAAGATAAAGTGAAACAGTTCTATCGTTGAGTACGACACCTTGAGTGATAATGATCTATGTGATTAGGAAAACCTATTACGAAAAGTTATTTCCAAAACATATGATCCAAAATTAAAATATTATTTGATTTTGATTGATGATAAAAAATTATAGTAGAAGCACGCGAGCCTGTATGTGATTCGGCAAAGAAAATCTTCAGAATAGTAATGCAGGTTCCAAAGGAAGACGTTCGGTTTAGATAGTAACAATATTTTCTGGAAGTTTAATAAATACTCTGTATGTCGTGTTTAAATGTTCAGTTTTTTTTAATTATTTACAAATAACAACACTCAATTATTTTTTTCAAAATAAGTAAGGGATTTTATTCCTATTGAAACCGTTATTTATCTATTATTACTAAATATTTTATTAAATTCTTTAAATTATTAATCCAAAGTAATAATACGTTATTGAAACCGTTATTTATCTATTATTACTAAGTATTTTATTAAATTCTTTAAATTATTAATCCAAAGTAATAATACGCGCTTATTATTTCTTATTTTTTGTAATTTCGCATCTAAAAAAAAATAAATACTTTAAGTTCTTTATTATTTCAATATTTTTAAAATGTTTTTCTGATAAACTAAGATTTTAAATCTTTTTACAAATTCTCTAATCAATGAAGTCTTTAGAATCAACTTACATTTTTTTAGGTTCATCAAAAGTGTCGGGAACACGAAATCCACCACGGAATGAACCACTAACACACTGTCACTATAAGACGATTATCAAGACATTACTTGATAATCACGTTTTAATTTGAATAACAATATGTATAATGCCCACTCTTAGCGGAGATAAAACTACCTAATTTATTAAGAATCAAACTAGGTATGTTTCAGAACTATAAAAAATTGTCTACACTATACGCATACCACACATTTCATACAGTCTCGTATTAATATTGAACTACAACTGTTCGTATCTGTTTGCTTTGTTAATCCCTACCTCTGATACCAAAATATATCACTTTTCCACCATAACATGACATTTTCGAGCCAATGGCTTATTACCCAACTTTGCTCATTGCCGTATTAATAAAATAAATTATTATAATACTCGTGCGATTTTCTGTCAAATCCTTCACGCTGTGATAAACCGAGAAAGTACATACAAATCGGCGCAATCGATTAAGTTGACACACTATAAAGGAAATCAACTGAAGTTATTTCACGTAAAGTCATAAGAGTTCATTATTTCAGCCTGAACCTTCACTGGGTTATATATTATTATATTAGTAATAATTTGTATATTTGTATTTGTACATAAAACTACTTAAATTCGGAATGTTTTCCCGGAATACGCCAGGTGTATTATCAAAGGGTGAGTTGCGCTTGTGTAAAGCGATGCCGTTCGCATTTCAGAAAATGTTGATAAAACTTTTAATGTAGATAAATAACTCTACTCTCTGTAGAGTTAGTAAAAATTAGTAGTAAAATAAGTAGTTTTTCATTTTTGTTAGTTTTAATAATGTACTGATATTAATGAAACAAAAGGTTTGCTTATGCCAAATTTTCCTCAGTAAGTATAACTCGCGATGAGAGATCCTTCTATTAAATTAGAAACGTATTTTAATATTTAATATGTTGACTGGAGGGCTAATCCCTTAATATGCTCAACGGCACTCATTTAGTTGCACACTGACTGAATTCACAAGAATTGCATTATTATAATTAGTTAAAATAAGGTGTAGGTTTTATATTTTCTTGCTTCGTTTATAGTTTAATTTTGATACTAAAAAGTTTTCCTTTGTAATAGTAATTAAGTTACGTAGTAATCGTAGGTTCTTTTCAATTATTTCATAAATAGATAGATTAGATAGATAGATAGATTTATCGATAGGCAATTCGAGCATTTATATAAGAAAAGTCAAATCGGCAACGTATATATTACATTTGTAACAGATCAAAACCATCAAGCTTATAACAAAACTCCATTAATAACGATAGATATCGTTATTGTGAGTTCCAAATTGTGAAGTTGCGTGGTACTAAAATTTAATAATGTAATTGGTATCGCTATTAAAGTTATGTGGTAAGCTTGCTGTCATTACGATACTTAATCATCGTTATATTTCAGCCACTACGTATTTTATATTATTGTTGATTGTTTAGATTAAATCTAAATTTATCTCCAGATTCCTTGAGAACGGTAAATCCAAGCATTAGCGAGAAAATTTCTGATGACTGAATCCTCAGTCCACGGTTTCACCAGCTCATGAATATCCACCCACGAGAGGATTCTTTTTCACAAGAAACACAATAAACTTCAATGGCAGTCTATTGTCTATGGTCCACACCAAACTGTATACGGTTACAGTTAATTCGGTCATTGCCTTATAATATTTATCACGGGTTACTTACTAAAATCTTCGATGGCGGTCACTGCGCAGACGCACAATGTACATATAGCACCGATGGCCAGTCTGTACATCATTGCAACCGACTTATCTGTAACAAGTGAAGATAAACCGTTTATTCATCAATCAGAGTTCTGTAACTGACACACACCGTCTATTTTTGGGTGTAGGGAATGATGGATTCACCGCGTGAGATGTTAAACGCAAAGGAAAAGCCCATTAGTTCATAACCGTGATACGAACGCAAGCGTTCAGCGTTGAGCGTCGCACGTTCGAACCGCTTCCCCTTTAAGTAGCCTATCATAAATACCACATATTATAGTTCCATAGTCTCCAATATTTTTAGAAATATGAATTTTTAGTTTTACAATGGTGTAATTCATATGTTCAACAATTTTAAAACACGGGATTGTAAACGGCTAACTTTTATTTAATTTAGAAACAAGCTCGGGGCAATAATCATACTTCCACGTATTTACGATGGAAACAAAAAAGATACAAAGGGTGTTTTTTGTCGATGAAACTCAGTGACACTGGCTAGATTTTAACTGTTATTTATTATTTGTATTGTGAACTAAAAGTTGCATTTTCAAACGTAATAAACATTACAAAACATAACTATTTAATAATGAAATCTCCGCCAGTCGGCTATTAATCTTGTATTCTTTGTTTTATCAATTCTTCTTTTCGCTATCAGGAATGAAACGTTTAGAATTATTTCAAGTTATTTCATAAAATGATTGAAAGGTGATTTATTCGATGCCAAAATATTTAATAAATGCTTTGTGTTTTCTGTAGAATATTTCAACACAATCATAACCAAGATGTAGTAAGATGTAGGTTATTGTAAATCAGGTGTCGAATAGGCTGTCAGAAATCTATTTTGTCTAGTTACTCATTTTTGCATCGGAGGAATTTATGGTTACTTCGTTCGACGTTTCGCAACTATAATGCAATTCTCTGAAGCCCTGCTTTTTTATCTAAAATTCGATATTTAAACATACATAGAAAAAACTACGATAAGTTAATATTGAAACTGAACGGCCGACTAAGTGTTATAATAAAGCGCTATTGCGTATGGCCAAAGGTTTTCAAATATAAAAGCAATAATGGCATTATATAATGCACTTGTTAGGTGCCACTTGAAATGTAACTCTATGATTTGGGCTCCACAAGAAAAAATATATTCTCTAATGGTGGAGCGTATTCAGAATAAATTTACGAACTCGAATAAAATCTCTGAACTAATTCGGTTTCGAGCCTCCAACAAGGGTATAAACCTGAACATCAGATAAATTTGGACATTAAGAGAAGAGAGAATTTCAAATTATGTGGGTTTATTTTCATGTTGTTATCAACACGGATGTTAACTAATCGATTTTTAATTAACCATTGGTTAAATGTTTGAAATTGGTAACAATGCAATCTCGTATTGATAACAATAAAGGCACCGTTAAATATTGTGGATTTTCCTTCTGAGAAATTGTATAATATGTATTATTTAAAACTTAATTATAATAGACTGACATAATAGTATATGCCACGGCCTTCTATAAGAAGCTATATGAATCACATGATGAGGATTACATAACTATGAATACCTTATACAAAATTATACTTATTATTTATAGAGCTTCGCTGTAGACGAATCGGAGAATTATAAAAAGATGTCCCAAGAGATATTAAATTATAGGTTGTAGATATATTAGGCCGGTTAGTCTATTTCTTTTGCTCTACTAACTGTGTCTCGATCGATAAACATATCGAAATACAACGTGAAATTTTAAACGGTTTGTAAGTGGTGTACGGTAGTATACGAATCCGTTCCTTACATTTCCTCGCGAAACTTTGCTATTGCCGCCTCGCCGTATTTATTGCTTTATTTACTCAAAAGGTTCTGTGTATTATGGACACTACCTATAGAAATTGGAATTCTTCATTTTTTCAGCTATAAAACAGACATGACGAACTGCCAAGACAATGTTTTCATCTTTTTTAATTATTTTTTCAATCACTGCCGATGTAGGGCGGCCCGCGCGGGCATGATTCTTTAATGGAAGTTCTAGCTCTCCGGAACTCAGGACACCATCATGCAACCGTAAATGGAGGAGCATGAAGTCCTAATGCTCTCAAGTCTTGCATCATGAGCTCTGTAGTAAAAATTGTCTAGCAAAGATTTTAAACCGCGCGAACTTATCCATTTTTAAGAACACGTTCCGACACGACACAAACAAAACACTTCTAATTAAAAAAAAATAAGAAATCAATGTTTTTTAAGATTAAAAAAACAACTTAGGAAGTCTAATAACTCTATTTTCTTTGCCTCTGAAACGAATTAATTCCACTTAAAAAGATTTTTCTAATGTCCGGTTGGTTGATGGAATCAGTTTTCGCACTCAGACTCTCACTAGGTCCGTTGTGCAACTAATGTCCGTTATATAAGAAATATCAGATTATAGGAAATAATATGCCCAATATTGAAATAAATTCTTGGCTACAATTACTATAGGTATTATTTAATTATTTTCTTTATAGATGGCGTGAACGCGATGTTAATGATTGATTATTTTGTTTTCGATTTAATATCCATTTTTAATTACTATTTTTACCTACATACATATACAACCTATATATTAAGGTTAAGAATATTGTAAATACTCTATATTTGTGTTACTTATTCGGAATGCGATAGACTGAAAAAATATCTATCGAATAATAAAAGTATATTATATGGAAATTGTCTGTGGAAGTATTCGTAACTAGATAAAGTCAAGTTGAATGAATAGAATCCATGTGGTATGGACGCAGTCATTTGGATGCCTGCAAACTCCATCCATACAAATGCTACCAAATTCCCTTACTGAACTTTCCTAAAATTCCCCAGGACAGCTCATCCAAACTTCACTTTGATATAAAACGAGTACGGAGAACAAAAGCATTACGATCCCTGTTTTGAACTTTTTATATGATCTAATATTATTAACAACAACAACTATTAATTAGTAAAAAAATATGCATTTATCACGATAAGGTAAGTGATTGTGTATATTAGTGATTAAATGGATTAATTGTAAAAACATCTCCGAATAATGCAATAAAAATTCAACTTGATTTGATTCAATTCGCGACAATTTATGGTAGCAATACCAGTGACTCGTAAGATTGTTTGCATCGGCACATAGAAGTAGTTGTCATGTGTCTCATCTCTAGCATTCAAGGCCTTAAAAAATTACATATCTAAAATCTATTAGTGCATAGGGCCATCTGAAAAATGACCCTATACCAACTGTGTCCAATACATTACAGTCACCATTTTATATAAAAAATTTAACACAAAGAAATCAAGTATCCATGAGATATACAAATAAAAAATCAATTATATTAAAAATATTATTATAAAAAATATTATTCAAAATAAATGGAATGGCACCGATTTTGACAAAAGCTCTCTCTTCTCTTTCTTGCAAATTGTGCCACTACGACACAAAGATCAATGTTAAAAAATCATAATAAGAATTAAGAATTTTTAACACAATAATAATAAAAACGTCTATATAAAATTCGCTTCACTTCGCTTTACGCATTAAACTATACTAACTATTAACCAGGCTTTACCTTCCCATCACTCACAATACACAATATCACGTAAACTTCTCAAACACGTTACTTACAATATTGTCGAGCCGATGTAATAATAATAACGAGTTAATTCGCCATTGTGGATCAGCCAGCGATTCGAATCACAATACTGGAATTGGAATTTCAACGACTCCCCTTTTAAGGTGATAATCTTATGATAAGAAGCTATTTGCGATTATTTTATTCAATTACATCCAAGATATTATTGTTGATTTAGTTACTGATATACAGTGATTTGATTGCGTTATCGTGACAGTTATTAATTTTGGTTTAGGTTTATAACGTCGTTAAAAATTGTCTAGAAATTTTTAAAATTACTCCCAGTTATACTGTCATCTGTAATATCTGAGTTATCGGAAAATATTATTTGGTAAGGTTAGCATTAAGGTTTTAAAATTACTTATTTATCGTTTACTAAAAATTAACGTTCAATCAATTTAAGAGCGGGCATTAAACAAAATCACTCATAATTGATTTTATCTTATCTCAATATGTGTTTGAATTAAAACCATAACTATTTATTGATCGTTTACTATAATTTTAATGCTTGGCCCTAATTAAAAATACAATACAATATAAATTCCTCGATACAAAAACCTCTTATTTTGTTTATATTCAATCATGGCGAGTTTTATGGAACCAAAAGTGAATTGAATTAGGTCACATTAGTTTGACGGAGGGCTATTATTTTGTTAAATATTGTTAATTTAATATGAGAGTTGTTTAAATAAAACGCATTTGGCGTTTACTTCATTTTTGTTCCGAGAAACACTGTATCTCATGTCTCATCTCACACGGAGTTCGGGCATACGTTTTGTCCACTAGTCAGTAGTCACTAGTCAGTCGCCTTCGCGCCACTGAGACGAGAACACTACCGCTTCTTTGCTCTTATGCTCCAACGATCGAGATCTTAATATTTATAATTTACACGGCACGTTGTTTGTCCGCTATAGACTCCTAAACTACCGAACCGATTTCAATCAAAGTTGCACACCGTATGCAGTTTGAAATGAAGTTTTTATCCACCCATAAAACAAACAAATATCTACTTATTTACGTTTATTCTTATTTTTAACTTCTAATTTAATTATATTTATTATACACCGTTACACACAATTTACTCACACTTCTAACTCTAATATTATTATTATTATTTTTCTACGTGGTATTATAATTATTTATTTTATTTTATTAGAGGCGCAAACTAGCTGCTATGGTCTCTGGCAGAATGACCAGCGCTGTGGAACTTTTTGCTCCTCAGCATAATGCTGAGCCAGGGCCAATTACAACCACAGTACACACACATTGCACACTGGAAGCGAACCGAATGGCAAAAGAAAATTTCTTAATTTTAATTTTTAATTTTATTCTATTTTATTTTATGTTTTCTTTAAGTATTGTTATTTTGTGTGTTTATGTGTGTGTTTTTTGTTTGTAA